TGTCTGTTGTCCATCTTGTTGTCCATCTGTCTGTTGTCCATCTGTCTGTTGTTCATCTGTCTGTTGTTCATCTGTCTGTTGTTCTTCAGTCTGTTGTTCTTCTGTCTGTTGTCCATCTGTCTGTTGTCCATCTGTCTGTTGTCCGTCTGTCTGTTGTCCATCTGTCTGTTGTCCATCGGTCTGTTGTCGTCTGTCTGTTGTTCATCTGTCTGTTGTTGACACAGTCTCAGATATTTATATTTAATATTTCTATCGACACTTCACTCATCCTGTGTACTCTCAGTACTGTGAAGTACTTCTACTGCAGTACTGTGAAGTACTTCTACTGCAGTACAGTACTGTGAAGTACTTCTACTGCAGTACTGTGAAGTACTTCTACTGCAGTACTGTGAAGTACTTCTACTGCAGTACTGCTCCAGGTCTCAGAACTGGAACGTCTCACCGTCAGTGTTGACACAGAGGAGAGACGGAGCGTGACCCAAACACAGCAGCTGATTGGCTGCAGCTGCTGGAACATGTGACCGGATAATGATAAATGACAGGGAGGACGTGATGGGGGGGTGGGGGGGGGGGGGGGGGGGGGGGCATGACACACACACACACACACGTCAACCTGCTGTGCTTCCACTGGGCATTTACCTTTTCGTTTGACCTTTGACCCCCGCCCTGACACAGTGTGAAGACTTGGACGTCCTCCTGTGACCCTGACCCTGAAGAAGGCATAGATTCAAACTGGTTTTATAGCCTCAGCTGTTTGAGGCCTCGTGCACAGACACGTGCACGAGGCTGCCTTCAGAAAGGTTTCCATGGAAACAGGATGAACACTGCATTAGTTCAGTGTTCATCTGTGGGCTGTGAGTTGGCTGTTGTCACATGTCAACGTCTGAAAATAACTGGAAGAAGGGAGAACTGACCTGATTCACAGACTGACGACTGACACCATCACGAGGCACAGACGCCGCAGCAGCACAGACGCCGCAGCACAGACACTGAATTTGTCCAGATTAATAATCCCATCATTTGTATTTGTCACAGATTAGAACAGGTGAGAAACAGTGACATCTACCTGTTGATATTGGTCAGCAAAAAAAGGTTTTTGTTATTTTTAGGAACCTGGATTACAGGTGATTAATCGTGTTAATCCAGATTTATAAAATGGTTTTGATTGACAGCCCTAGGTTGTTTATACAGATGGTTAGCAGTTTAGTTTAGTTTAGTTTAGTTTAGTTTAGTTTAGTTTAGTTTAGTTTAGTTTAGTTTGGTTTAGTTTAGTTTAGTTTAGTTTAGTTAGCACTCACTCTTAGCTAAACCAGAGAGAACACAAAAGCAGATTTAAAGGAAATGTGTCAAACCCAAGGCCCACAGACCAAATCCTGCCCCTCAGGTCATTGTCAGTGGCCCTCAGAGGTCAGGGGTCAAAGTGACTTCACCGACCTCCAGTCGTGATAAGAAAGAAAAACTTTTGAATGTTTTTTTTTTCCCTCCGTTTTCAGGTCAAGCCACCAAAAAAACCTACGTGAGTTACAACAACCTCAGAGTCTGAACCTGGAGGGGGCGCCCAGTGTGTGTGTGTGTGTGTGTGTGTGTGTGTGTGTGTGCAGGCGTCCCAGCACCTGCAGTATCTATGCACCCCAGGACTGTGGGCCACATCCAGCCCTCACCCAGACTTGATACATGAATCCTGGCAGAAACTAGCACAGCTGAAGGCCTGGGAACCAG